GCTACTCTTCTCTCCTTTTGTGTAAAATGGCACAAAAAAAGGAATCTACAGAGGAGACAGAGATACAGCTGCTGGTACCATTTTACAACCAAAGACCCAGGACACTGCCACAGAGCAGTGAAAAAATTATTCCACAGCTGTAGATTTCACTTCCTAAATATGTTTTCTTTTTAATGGAGTCTAGGCACCAAGAATATAGCTATGAACAGAACAGTCAAGGTCCCTGCCCTCACCGAGCTAATGTACTAGTGGGGGATACAGAATACACAAGCTAGAGGCATCACATTCCCTGACTTCAAAATATACTACAAAGCTTTAGTAACCAAAACAGTATGGTACTGGCATAAAAACAGACACATAGACCAATGGAACAGAATAGAGAACCAAGAAATAAATCTACGTATTTACAGTCAACTCATTTTCAACAGCGATGCCAAGAACATACATTGGGGAAAGGATATTCTTTTCAGTAAATGGTGCTGGGAAAACTGTATATCCATATGCAGAAGAATGAAACTAGACCCCTATCTTTCATCATATAAAAAAATCAAGTCAAAATGGATTAGACTTAAATCTAAGACCTGAAACCATGAAATTACTAGAAGAAAACATTGGGAAAATACTCCAGGACATTGATCTGGGAAAAGATTTCTTTAGTAAGACCTTAAAAGCACAAGCAATTGAAGCAAAAAAAAAAAGCAAATGGGGTCACATCAAGCTAAAAACTTGCTGCATGGTGAATAATCAACAAAGGGAAGAGACAACTGACAGAATGGGAGAAGATGTTACAAACTACCCATCTGACATGGGATTCGTTACCAGGATATGTAAGGAGCTCAAACAATTCAATAGGGGAAAAAGTCAAATTTAAAAACGGGCAAAGCATCTGAATAGACATTTCTCAAAAAAAGACATAAATGGTCAACAAGTATATGAAAAGTATTCAGCATCATTAGTCATCAGAGAAGTGCAAATCAAAACTTTGGTGAGATATCACATCCCAGTTAAAATGGCTTTTATCAAAAAGACAGGCAGTAACAGATGCCGGAAAGAAGGTGAAGAAAAGGAAGCCCTCGTACACTGTGTAGGAATATAAATTAGTATAGCCATATGAAGAACAGTATGGAAGTTCCTCAAAAAACTAAAAATAGAACTGCCAGGTGATCCAGCAATTCCACTATTGGGTCTGTATCCAAAAGAAAGGAAATCTGTGTTATCAAAGAGATACTTGCACTTCCACATTTATTGCAACACTATTCGCAGTAGCTAATATTTGGAATCAACCCAAGTGCCTGTCACTGGATGAATGGATAAATAAAACGTGGTGTGTACTTCTTAAAGGAAGACATACAAGCAGCCAACAAGCACATGAAGAAACGTTTGGCATCACTAATCAGAGAAATGCAAATCAAAACTACAATGAGATACCATCTCATACCAGTCAGGGTGGCTATCATTATAGTCAAAAAACAACAGGTGTTGGCAAACCTGTGTCGATTAGGGAACACTAGTGTACTGTTGGTGAGAATGTAAGCTAGTCCAGTCCCAGTAGAAAACGGTTTGGAAATTTCTCAAAGAACTAAAAAATAGAGTTTCCATTTGCCCTAGTAATCCCACTTCTAGGACTATACCCACAGGAACATAAATCATTCTACCAAAAGATACCTGCACGTGTGTATGTTCATTATAAGCACTGTTCACAAAGCAGAAATGTGGAAGTAACATCAACAACTGACTGGATAAAGAAAATGTGGTACATATATACTGCAGAATACATAAAAAAATAAATTATGTCTTTTACAGCAACATGGATGCAGCTGGAGACCATCATTCTAAATAAATTATCACAGAAACTAAAAAACTGAATACCACATGGTCTCACTTATAAGTGGATACGAAACACTGGGCACACATGGGCACAAAGATAGGGACATAGACACTGGGCACTGCTAAAGAAAGGAAGAGGAATAAGGGATACAAAACCACCCATTGGGTACCATGCTCACAACTTGAGGAAGGGGCATGTCAGAAGCGCAAACCTCAGCTTCACTCAATATACCTGTGTGTAACAAATCTTCACACGTACCCCATGACTCTGAAATTTTAAAAAAGAAAATGTTGTGTATGTGCAAAATGGAATTATTCAGCCACAAGTAAGAATGAATTCCTGTCATTTGCAACAAAATAGATTGAATGGGAGGATTTTATATTAAGTGAAATAAGGCAAGTACAGAAAGGCAAATACTACATGTTCTCATATGAGCTTTAAATGCACACATACACACACATATGTATGGGAGACTGCTCCCAAAATGGAATTTTTTTAAAAATTGTACATTCTTTTTTTCACTTTAAAGCCTTTGTCACAAATCTGAATCTTTATTCTGAAATAAACATTATAAACATAACTCAAAACAAAAACATCAATATTCAGCATAAGAAGAGATGTGGCTCAACGCCCATCAAATGTAACAAGACAACCTCGTTTTTAAAAAGGGGAAAAGTACGATGAGAATCTCTCATATGAATGAGGATGCATCTCTAGATTGCCACCCCCCAATCTCCTGAGTTTGAATACACATGGGAATCAAAAGGTTTGCATTTTCTGCACAGCAGTTCTCACTATGCTGTTTGATGAACTTTTCTGCCACTCACCGAATTCATCAAAAAGAACAGGCCAAGCACCATCTTCATCATAGTTACTAAGATCAGCATGGACCATTCTGCTGAATTCTAATACATTGTACCACTGATCTTTGTTCATAACATGATACTTTGCTCCAGGTGTGAGTAAAATACTGAAAATAGTGGCCATGTCTTCCCAAGCAGAAGAGCTAGCATAGATTTAGCAGTATCAATATCAGGGCTTCTCTGATCTTTATCCCTTGCAAAATCAAAGGCGTATCTGTAGATATTCTTAATGATAAGATATCATTCAACTGTGAGCTCAAAAAGTCAAATTTGTTCTGTAATTTTTCTGTACAGTCACACTAATGAGGTTATTCCCTTAGCCATTCTTCCTTGGTTTTAAAAAAAAAAAAAGACACATGCTCTTAGCCTCCAATTTCCGTGTTAAAATTAACATAATATTTTCAGGTTAAACACCAATGTCTTCACAAAATTTTTCCATTCCTTCTGGTTCTACAACTTAATCAGGACCTGCATACTCATAAAACCAAGCCAGGTGTTTCTTGCTTGAAAAACGGTCCTCCAGTATTATTCTAGCAGGGGGTTGAAGTCTGCAATAGCATTCCCAAGGTGGTTGTCAGGATTCCTCACACTTTGCTTCTTTCTTCACACTCTAGAAAGACATTCTAGAAGCAACCCTTCTGCAGATCTGTACTCACTTCTAGGTCTGGAGATTTTACACTTCTTGAGGCCTCTATCTCCTCCTGCTGTTGCCATCCCTCTTTTCTGCCTTCCTCCTCCCTATTGGCAGGGTGCACAGGGGAGCCTAGGAAGGGGGTTGCTGTCCACTAGAAGACCTCACTGTTGGCACCCAGTTCCCAGAGCCAGCAAAAAGCTGTGGAGTAGAGTCGCCACCCTTTCTCGGCGCTACCCAGGACGGGTGGCTCCTTGTTGGTGGACACTGCAGCAGCTTGGTTTCACCAGGAGAAGATAGCGCAGACTGCAATTTTTCTTACATGTTTAAACTTCAGTCATCTTCAGAGTACTCTTCGTTTGATGCAATACACCTATAGAGACACTTTTTCCAGTGCTCAAAACAGTTTTTGAACTCGTCAGTATTGATGCTTCTGCCATTTCTGTTTTCATCTCTTCCACATCAACAAAATATTTCCCTTGGAGGACATTTTTTCATTCAGGGAAACAAACCAAAAAAAGAGTTGCTCAGGGTGAGAGATTGGGTGAACAGGGAGGGTGGGACTTGGGGTCTTGCTATTTTTGGTCAAAACTGCTGAGTACAGCATGGTGTGGGCGGATGCACTCGTCAATTACCCATCATGGAATGGGCAAACATGGAAAGACTCTCCAAAAAAATTTCACTAAAGCTGAACGCTGCCTCTCACAACAACATTAGCAGATACACTGATGTTGATGGGTTCTAGAACGCTTCCCTCGCAAGGGAAGCTTGTACTACAAAGCGCTCGACCTCCAAAAAATAATTGTGTTTTGGGGAGTCTCCCTCATATATCGTGGAGATAGAGGGTAGAGTGATAGTTACCAGAGGCTGGGAAAGGTAGTAGAGAGAGAGGGATAAAGAGGAACTGGTTAATGGATGCAAAAGTTACAGACAGAAGAAATATGATCTGGTGTTCAGTCGCACAATAGGGCAAGTTAACTATAGTTAACAATTTATTGTATATTTCTGAATAACTAGAAAAGCAGAAATGGACTGTTCTTAAAACAAAGAAATGGTGAATGCTTGAGTTGATGTGTATTTCAGTCACCCTGATTTGATTATTTGTATTGCATGCTTGTATCAAAATTTCACATGTACTCTATAAATATGTGCAGCTATTGTGCATCCATAAAAATTAAATAAAAGATAAATTCAAGCAAAAACACCTGAACAGGACAGTGTCAGATAATGGTACATAACATAAAAGAATATAAAAAATAAATGGTAAAAGCCGTTTGTATAGTCCCTTCCTTACTCTGACAGAGGCAGTTGAAGATCTGCAGATTTGGTAGAGATGTTGGGAAAGTGCTATATGATTGGAGGAATTGTTTGTACACTTGTACATATACTGTGGTATAGTCTTACAAGCACTGGCTCTGGATCTTCATTGCCTAAATTCTGGTCTCAGCCCCCCACTCACATGCTGTGTGGTTCTGCACAGATCACTTCACCTGTCTCTCTTGCCAGCTGCAAAGTGGGACTAGCTATGCTGCCTGGCCCATGGAGGGTCGTGCAGGTTCAGTGAAATGATGCATGGACAGCCCTTCAGCAGAAACTGGTGTGTGGAAAATGCTGGTCTTACTGTTCTGTGTACAGTGTCTTTTAACGCCTTGCATCTTTCCTTTGGTTTGTTTTTCAGCTCCAGGGTCTGAGCCATAATGTGATCTTCACCTTGGATTCCTTGTTGAAAGGAGACTTAAAGGGAGTCAAAGGAGTAAGTGTTCAGACATTTGATTTTCACTTTAACTTGGAAGAATTGATTTTTTTTTCTCCTTTAAGCTCGTAGTTTTTTTTTTCGTAGTTTTCTTTCTCCTTTAACTCATATTTGAAAGGCACTCTGAATGTTTTTAGCATTAGAAATGTTCTTGGAAAATGATCATTAGGAACAATGTGCCACTTCACTTAATGGTATTGCCAGCGGAACAAGTTTAGGCACTTTCTGGAAGATTGGTGAGATCCCACGTGGGTGGGAGAGAAGAGTTAGTCTGAGTCTTGGCTCTCCCAGCGTAACCCTGTGGATGCAGCTCTCCAAACTGGGAGCTCCGCTTCATGGGCATGACCGGGTGCTCACCTTTCTACCTGGCCCAGGCTTCTCATGGTGTCATGTGCATGAAAGTGTGTTTGGTAAAGCTTCAAGTGTCCCATAAAGGAAGCCATTCTTGCTAAGATGTTACCTAAAAATTTACTCATTGTCATCAAGAGTAAACAGTTCTAATTTCATTTTCTCTGTTCTAAGGATCTCAAGAAGCCATTTGACAAAGCCTGGAAAGATTATGAGACAAAGTTGTAAGTGGTTTTTTGTTTTATTTGTTTTTGTTATATTGTCATGAGTTTTGTAAGAAAAACTAACTAGAAAAAGGACAGAGCCCTTAACTGATAACTTCTCAGCAAAAATTCGTTGAGTGCGTTCTCCTTCGGGCTAAGAGGTTGGGTCTGCTGGCCTCAAGTGACTGCATCCCCTTGTGGCAGGTGTCTAGAGTTAGAGGCACTGCTACACTCAGTTATTTTGGCGTTTATGGCTGCTGATAGTCACTATCATGTCGTAGACCTCTGACTCTTTTATTGGAGTTAGCATGTAACTGTGGACCATTTGCATTTCTGTATAGAATAGCAATTGGGAAATAATAAAAGTAATGAACAGTATTTGTGACGGCTTTCTGCCTGCCAGGCCCTGCTAAGTATTTCTACATGCATGACATGCTCACAGCAGCCTTTCTGTACAACTTCTGCAGCAGGGAAACAGAAGCCAGGCGAGGCCCGGGGGCCTGTGGAAAGGTAGGAAGCCAGTAGCTGTTGATCTGGTGTTCACTCTGGGTCTGTCTGACCCCAGAGCCTGAATAGCACAGTGTGGGCACCGGAGCCACGCCACCAACCTTGTGGGGGTATTGTGAAGGATCAGGGCAATTAGCACTTTGCATGGTGCTTGGCTTGTCTTTATACTGTGCGTATTATACCAGGCTCCTTTATTCTTCTTACTCTGAGACACTAGTGACACCAGACAGTAGGTGGGGATGGGACGAGTTATGTATTTTAAAGCTTTTAATAAAAGTCTTGGCTATAAACTCAGATAACTATAAATATAAGAGAATAAAAACATTTCTCTAGGCAGCAGTAGCAGCAGAATGAAAACAGAAGCAAAAGAAAAACAAATTCAGGATTAAACATGTTTTCCCCAAACTACTTTTGTAATTTTGTAATTTCGTAATTCACTTACATAAGTGTATTGTTGGGGACTTGCTGTCTTAGGAATACCTTTGTGTGTCGACAGTTGTAAATGCAACTGAGAGCAAAGATTCTTAAAATGATCACCTGATAAATGAATGCTGTGGACCATGTGTCTTTCTGTATGAAAAGTGGGTCATGAGTACTCACACTTCTGAGCTAAGTACTGCCCCTGCCCAGAGGCGACTGTGCATGCACTTGGAATGGAATTGAATAAGTACTTAGAAACTGTGAGAGAGGAGGGCAAGTCTTGCTTTACACTTGGTAGAACGCGTTTCCTTTATAGGACATAGGAAGAAGAAAACATGATATGTGTTTTGTCAACTAAAGTGCTACCAATATTAACTGGTATACTGTACTTATATGTTAAAAAATCTGTGTTGACTGAAGACCTCGAAGTACCTGGTATTCAACATTATGCATATCATGGAATATAGAGCCTCCTAAAATGTCCTTCATATACTTCTCACACATGACACAGGAATTTGTCTGACTGTCCATTTGCCAGATTGTCCTCCAAAATCTAAGTTTGCCGAGGACAGCGACCATGTTGCTCTTATGTGTGATGCTAATCTCCCTAGTTTGTGCACTATGTGTAAGTATTTATTGAAAAATAAAGGAATGATCCAGACCTGGAAATATATGACAGGAACAGTGAGTTGAACGGATCCTGAATTTAGGACCTTATGAAGGAAGGTTTTGTTTTTTGTACTTGTTGTTTTTTAATAAATCCCTGTCGACAAATTATGTCCCTAAGATAGACTTCTTTCTCAGGGAAGAAATAGAAAAGAAAACAAGCAATTGTCCTATGTAATCGGACTTAAGTTTTTTGGTTTCTTGGCGGGGAGGGGTTAGAGTCTCACTCTTGTTGCCCAGGCTGGAGTGCAGTGGCATACTCCCGGCCACCACAGCCTCGGCTGCTGGGCTTAGGCAGACCTTCTCCTCAGCCTTCCAAGTAGCTGGAACTACAGACACACATCTCAATGCCTAGCTAGTTTTGTGATTTATTGTAGAAACGAGGTCTCACCAAGTTGCCCAGGCTGGTCACAAACCCCCGTACTCAGGCAGTCCTCTCACCTTGGCCTCCCAAAGTGCTAGAATTACAGACTGAGCCACCGCACCTGGCCAGTATTCAAGTTTTAAGTTACAGAAACTAAAATGATTTATGCACAAAAAAAGTTAATTTAGTAGCTTGAATAATCAAGAAGCCTGGATATTTTCTGTGGTATTCCATTCAGAACTTTGGAGGCAATGAAGTATAGTGGTTGAGATCATAGACTTAGAAATCATTACCAGTTTTGTGACCCTGAGCCAGTGTAGCTTAACTTTGATAACCCTTACCTGTACAACAGTATAAAATAACCTACTTCTCAAGATTTTTGTGAAGACAAGATAAGATGATGTATTGAAGCAGTTATCATAGTGTCTAGTATAGAGTAGCCACTCCGTAAATAGTTTCTGTTAAGATTTTTAAGAATCAACTTGTATTTGGGCAGAATAATACATGTGCGTACAATAAAACATCAGATAGTGCTTGTATTAGTTAGGACTTACTCTTTCGAAACCCCAAGTGACAATGGCTTCAGCGCTGTGGAAGGCCATCGTAGAACAGGGAGTGTCCGGGCTGGGCCGGGCGCCTTCCTAGCACTTTCCACTCGTTGGCCTTGTCCTCCACAGTCTGAGCTCAGTGAGCTGATTCAGCACCTGGTGACACAGGGTTCTTTACAAACAGTGAAGCAGAGAATATTGGTGGGCAACGAGTGTGCTTCTAAGGAAAGCTCAGCAGTCCTCTCTGTGCTCGTAGTCCCGCTCCTGCTTCCAACTCTTCTACCTGTTTTCGGATGTATCTCCGTGTACCTCTGTATTCTCTTGCTGTTATGTCTTGATCCACTGTGGGGTATTACTGTGACAGACGAGGACTACGTTCCCCTGCAAGACCACCCTGTCGCTTCCCCAGTGCAGCCAATTTTTGGTTAAACCAGTTGTCATGTGCACATTTTTATGAGTATAAACATTCATTGCTGATCTGAACAGTATAGGATGACTGAATTTTCATTCTCAGTTTTTGCTTTTTCTTAATGACATAATTGCCTGATTTCTCCATTTGCCTACCCTGTGTGAGTCTTTTGTGAATTTTCATCATCTCCAGGAGATACTAGATATCTATCAGTAATATTTTGTTTGGAAAATACATTATATGCATATACTATTATAATGATCACATATCTGTTGTCATTTAGTTGTGTCATTTTCTGCATTTCTCTCCTGGAGACATCCTTTTTCAGAGAGAGCTCTTCGGGTCAGCAGTGTGACTGTCACTGAAGGGGCCTTCCACTCTCTTTAGCTTTAAATTACTTCCTGTTTCCTGGTGCTGTCCCCTATTTTGTTGGCTCACTACCTTCAGTAGTTTCCAGGGAATAGCTCCTAAGGAGATAAAGTTTTCAGGTTTTGTATGTCCAAAAACATCTTCATTCTACTATCACACATAATTAGAGTTGGGCTAAACATAAATTCTGATTTTATAATCATTTTCTCTCAAAACAACGAAGGCAATGTTCCATTGTTTTCTAACTTTTAGTGTTGCTAATTTTAAAAATCCAATATCTCTTTTAAATTTTTTAATGTTTATTATTTTATTTTATTTTATTTTTTTGAGTTGGTGTCTCACTCTGTCACCCAGACTGGAGTGCAGTGGCCGCTCCCAGCCACCGCAACCTCGACCTGCTGGGCTCCGGCGATCCTCAGCCTTCCAAGTAGCTGAAGCTACAGGTGCGCGCTATCACACCCGGCTAATTTTTTTATTTATTGTAGAGATGAGGTCTCACCAAGATGCCCAGGCGGGTCTCGAACCCGTGGGCTCAGGCAATCCACTTAACTCAGCCTACCAAGGTGCGTTTTTTTTATGGAGACAAAATGTTACTGTTTTGTCCAGGCTGGTCTCAAATACCTGGCCTTCAGCAGTTCTCCTGCCTCGGCCTCCCAAAATGCTGAGATTACAGGCATGAGCCATTGCGCCTGGCCCTGACACCCTTTTATTTGTAGTGATATGTGATTGTTTTTGTTTATTTTCAAAAATGTTAAGGTCTTCTCTCTAAAAGGCTTTATGAAGAATCTTCATGTGCCATGGTGTGTGCATTCTAGTTGCAATTTTTAGTTCTTCATTTCTAGAAACTTTTCTTGTAATTCTTCCTGGTTTTTTTTTTGTCCCTCACCCCCCTTCTAGAATTTATCATCATATAATATTGGGCTTCCTAGATTGTTCTTGTAATTTTCTTCTTTTTTCTGTTTCATTTGTGTTGTTTTAGGTTTTTTGTTTTGTTTTTCTGCCAAAGTTTCAGTTAAGTTTTTAATTTTAGCTATTTCATTTTAAATTTCTAAAATTTCTTTTGCTCAATCAGGTTTTTTTCTTTTGCCTTTTTATAGTTTATTTTTCTTGCTTGTAGATACAATATTTTAGTTGAAGATATAATGGTATTTTGTAAAATATTTTCATCTGCTTCCCTATAGCCTCTGGTTCCACCTCACCCTCCCTTTGTGTTGTTTTGCCAACTATCACTTCATTTCGAGGCTATTCTAAATTAGAATCTTTGGGTGCCCATTCATATTTCAGAGCAGGCACCCAAAGACTGCAAGTTCACATGCAGCAGCAGGACTTGTCAAGAAAGCAGCCTGCCTTCTTTTTAAGTTCCAAGTTTTAGAATGTCAAGACAGGTCTTTCAGAATGTCAGTGTCTAAGGTCTGTCTTCAGGACCTTTAGCCTCCTTCCTCGTGATCGTATTTAGTGGCATCTCGGAAGCTCTTTAAGTGAGGGACACAGGGAACCCTGTAGTTCGAGGTGCAGACTTCTCTCTCTAGTCCTGCTCTTCCAAATAATTTGTGGAATTCTCTTATCCTTTTTTGTCTTCAATTCTTCTTGTCTTTGGGAGATTATCCCTTTTTTATGCCTTTACTATCATTTTAGTGTGATCACTGGAGAGAGAAGAAATATACACATGGGTAGTCAAGGCACCATGACATCAGAAGACTGCGATTACTGAGTTAGGCCTGCCTCTCCATGTTTCTTTTCTTCCCACCCAAATCAGTGGAGAGACAAAGCAGAGGTTTATTTTCTTTCTGATAAAATCCTGGCCATCATACCTCTTTGCCAAAGCAGCTTGATTAAAGGGTTGCTTAGATACAGCATTAGGGTATTAGAGTCAATCCCAACCAGGTTTGAAGTTTCTATTGGCTTGATGGGCTTATTTTCCACTGTTTGTATATAGACAAGGATATTGGCTTCCTTTGATTCTCCTTACCACCACCACAACTTAAAGAACACTTGAAGGTTATATCAGTTAGTCTTTGCATTCACAACTGACAGTTACGGTCTGTTTCTAAATGTTAAAGTGCATTTTCAAGTTAAATGGATTTTTGAAAAGAAAGCTATGGTCACTGGTATTATTACCAGAATATTATCTGTCATAACAAAGCACTAGCCTCCGGTACTATGGATTTAACGTGGGCCTTCCTTTTTTCCGCCCCCCGCCCCGTTTCCCCTGAACCCCCCTGCAAGAATATTTTTATAGCATTTCAGTTTATACGTGGGATTTCTTCCATTCCATATTTGCAAAATCCAGTGCCAAGTGTTGAATTGTTAGAATGTGTTATTGGGATGTGGAAATAGCTCAAGTTTAGAAGAGTATTGGAAATTACCTTTCACCAATTTTTGTTTATACCCATAAAGACCTGTTATATACTTTAATTATTTTGAAATAATTCTAAGTCATAATTTCTTGAAAATCAAGAAAAGCCTCAGGTCTCCAACTTTCCAATTCTTGTTCATCATAAAGTGCTTTGCCCAAGAAAAGGTAAACTATCAAAATTTCTTCAGCCGGGCTCGGTGGCTTAGCCTGTAATCCCGCACCTTTGGGAGGCTGAGGTGAGTGGATTGCCTGAGCCCGCGGGTTCGAGACCCGCCTGGGCAGCAAGACCTCATCTCTACAATAAATCAAAAAATCAGCCGGGCGTGGTAGCACATGCCTGTAATTTCGGCTACTCGGAAGGCTGAGGCGGAAGGATCGCCGGAGCCCAGCAGGTCGAGGCTGCGGTGGCCGGGAGCGGCCACTGCACTCCAGTCTGGGCAACAGAGTGTGACTCCAACTCAAAAAAAAAAAAAAAATTTTCTTCAATGCCTGCAGAAATGTAGGACAGTGTATATGAATCCATCATGTGTAAAAATCAAATTTAAAATGAACTAAGTTTCCTAGATGAAAATCCAGGCAGTGTATTTTTCTCTTTGAATTTAGACTTTTACCTCTGGCTAATTCTACCAACTTGAGAAATCTTGCCTCTTAACTTTAGTAATTAAGAAATAATAAGAGGCTTTCATGAGAAAGACATGAGTCTGTCTTTTTTTTTTTTTTTGGTCAGGGTCTTACTCTGTTGGCCACACTGGAGTGCAGTGACATGATCACAGCTCACCATAGCCTCGGCCTCCTGGGCTCAGGTGATCCTTCTGCCTCAGCCTCCAGAATAGCTGGGACTACAGGCATACCTGCCATGCCCGACTAACTTTTTTATTTTTTGTACAGACGGGGTCTTGCTATGTTGTCTAGACTGGTCTCAAACTCCTGGACTCAAGCAGCCCTCTGTCAGCCTACCATAGTGCTGGGATTACAGGTGTGAGCCACCATGCCCAACCTGTGGTTTGTTTTTATTTTGTTTTGTTTTGTTTTGTTTTGTTTTTGAGTAGGAGTCTCACTCTGTTACCCAGGCTGGAGTGCAGTGGCACGCTCACAGCCACTGCAGGCTCAACCTACTGGGCTCAGCCTTCCAAGTAGCTGGAACTACAGGCCACTACGCCCAGCTAATTTTTTGATATATTGCAGAGACGAGGTCTTACCAAGTTGCCCAGGCTGGTCTCGAAACCACGGGCTCAGGTAATCCACTCTCCTTGGCCTCCCAAAGTACTGGGATTACAGACTTGAGCCACTGCGACTGACTTGGTTTATTTTTTAGTAGACTCTCTTTCTGAGCAGAAAGTAGAGATTTCCCACGTTACCCCTGCCCCCACACTCATTGCCTCCCCCACCAGAGTAGAACAGTTGATGCAATTGATGAACCTGCACTGACACATTATCATCACCCAGAGTCCATAGTTTTCATAAGGATTTACTCTTGATATTGTACATGAATGTGTTTTTGAAAGGTAATGACTTCTGCTTTAATTACAGTACAAAAATTGAAAAGGAAAAAAGAGAGCATGCAAAACAACACGGGATGATCCGCACAGAGATAACAGGAGCCGAAATTGCAGAAGAAATGGAGAAGGAAAGGCGCCTCTTTCAGCTCCAAATGTGCGAAGTAAGAGCGAATGCTTCCACCATTTGCCTAGAATTTGAATAACTGTAATCTTCTCCTGCTAGTCAGCAGTGTCTGTGCTTAAAAAGCAGACTGTGTTTGATTGTTAGAGAAGGGTACTGTTTCTTAAGAATTCTAATCTCCATTTTTTTCCAAGCCTTTTGGGAACCTGCCGTTGCACTGTTGTCTCATGTTTTGAGCCTTGGTCCTATGGGGCTCTTTAAGCCAAAACAGGATTCTTTGGTGAGAACTTAAATGTTGCTTGTGAGTGATTGTGGGGGAAAAGAATTGGTGAGAGGTAGCAGTGGTGAATATTAAGTTTTACTGGTATAAGTTTATAGCATGTTGTTTTTTTAACCATGTGTCCAGTTTGAATGAAAACTTAAATGAAAGTCATTAAGAAAGTCTGATTTCGTGAAAAAAAAAATACAGTGATGCAAAGCATGCTGCCTTAAACTTAGAGCAGTGGTTCTCAAACTGAATTCCCATATGAATGCTGACATTCCTTGATTTAGATGGCAGTCTGTTCTGACACTGCAGTTGTGTAATGGAGTTTCTTTTGCAGATTTCAGAAAATATTAAAATGGAGACTTTTCTCAGTTTTATGTTTTTTCTCCCTTAAATTTTCTTTCATTCTTTTTTATTTTTCATAAACCTTTGGCTCCTTGAATGTGTTTGCTCATGGACCTTTTCACGCAATAAAACAAATGAGCAAGAAGCAAACCATGACAGTAGACAGTCTTAGCCAGGAGTGGAAGTCAGAACAAGTAGTGTTTAGTTCAGTGCATAAGTTAATAATGGATTATTTTTATTTTCCTTCTCTCATTTTTAGTAACAAAAATTCTCTTTGCTTCACATTCTTGATCTAAAAGTTTTAGTTATGTAATGGCATATTCTTCAAAGAGAATGCTGTTCTACTTATTTTCTGTGTCTTTCAGGTTTTTGACCACATGAAGTATAAGTTTGAGATCCACTGCACCAAGGGAGATAATCAGTTTTCCTAGAATGATTTGTTGTGTTTCATTTCTGCTTGTCTAGTTAACTAATCATAAGAATTTATAAAGTACTAACACTCTAATCAGTTTGTTTTGTACACTTTGAGACTGCCAAATCAGCATTCCCTAAGCTGTCTGAAGGCCACTGAGGCTCAGTAACTCGTGTAGATGCACAGGCAGTGTTCTGCCACGTGAACCCATGACTGAAGAGCCCTGTCTGCAATTATCAACATAAAATTCTGTTTTATTTCCACAGTATCTCATTAAAGTTAATGAAATCAAGACCAAAAAGGGTGTGGATCTGCTGCAGAATCTTATAAAGTATTATCATGCACAGTGCAAGTAAGTAGAGTGTTTCCAGCATTATTATTAGCCCACATAAGGCTCCCTCACTTTGTTGTTTGTCCTAATTCTCTTTATTTATTTTCTTCATCTGGTTAGAAAGAATGACATAATGACCTTTTATAGCTAAATAGATAAGAAAATGAGCCATGTGTGGTGATGTGCACCTATAGTTCCAGCTACTTGGAGGGCTGAGTTGGAAGGATCGCTTGAGCCCAGCAGTCGAGGCTGCGGTGGCCGTGAGTGTGCCACTGCACTCCAGTCTGGGAGACAGTGAGACTCCCACTCAGAAGAAAAAAAAAAAGTAGCAGCATTGTCTTCCACTTTTAGAGTTTCAAATAAATTAGTAGAAAATTAGGGCAACTATTTGGTTTCTAGAAAATACTGTCTTCCTTAGAATGCTAGCCGTGACAGCCTCTGGAGCTTTATTACAGACCCATGAGTCAGTAAAAAGTCTTTTCTGGTGAACCCCCCTCCCCACCTCTCTTACTTGGCATTTTGCCTATTGCTACATCATTTGCACTATGTATTCCCACTTGGAGGGTTTTTTCCCCCTTCATCTAAATTAAATAGATGAAATTAAATACTTTGGGCATTAAGGCTACTTTGCATTTATACATGGATTCCTGTATTGGTGTTGTATATTGAAAGACATCCATTGTTCTGTACTGGCACCATTTTTGTTTGCTTACACTGCAAGTCTGCCTTTTTATTATGTTTGTGATTCTGTGGCAATGCAATCGCTTTCTTTACCTCTTGTTTGTTTTCATGGGGTTTTGTTTTTTTTTGGTAGTCTTTGTGTGAATATGCGCCAGTTGCCATTAAAGTCTATATTAATTGATAGAAGTTTTACAGAAAATAGTGTTAAAGTGACCCACATATCTCTCATATTTATAAGCAGAATAACATAAAGGTCATTTGGACTAGATAAAATACTCTCCAGAAAAGTTTAATCTAAATTTTTCTTTGCTCTCCATATTTTTTAAAATAATGTTATATCCAGGAAGATCTTTGTAGTCAGCTGAAACATTTAATATTATGGGAAAAGCACAAAGCTTGAGTTAAACAAATAGATGAGTTTGAATCCTGGCTCTGTAGCTGGGTAATCCTGGCTCTGTAGCTGGGTAACCCTGTGATGTTTATCAGGTGCTTTGCTAAAACCTCAATGTTCTCATCTGTCAAGTTGGGTTAAGGTTTGTTGCACACACCTCAGAGTTTTTTTGAGAATAGGAGAAGTAAATAAAATAATACTCATATAGTTCTTAGTCCAGTGCATGCAACCTTGTGTATGTTGATGACTGTGATGATTCTAAGTGGTATTAAAAATTATGTATATTTTATTGTTCGGGCTGCTTCTCTTCAGGAAAAGCTTTTTAATAATCAAAATTGTTTCTACATAAATTTGATTTGTTTTACGTCTTTCCAAAGTAGATTCTACCTTGAATAAATGTCTTTCAAAAATAAAAGTGACAGCTGGACACAGTGACTCATATCTGTAATCCCAGATACTCAAGAAGCAGAAGTAGGAGGATCTTTTGAGGCCAGGAGTTCAAGACCAGCCTGGGCAACATAGTGAGCCCCCATCTATAATAATAATAATAATAATAATATATTGAATTAGAAACAGTTTTCATGTTTGGAAAGCTAAAGTTTTCCTACTGAAGACTTGAACTAATATTTTGACTTTGTAGTATATAGTAGGGTAGTTAAGAAACATTGAAATGTGTTTCAGTGGTTTCAGATTTTAGTTTTGGGTGGAATTTTTCATCTTTTATCAGTTTCTATTTTCCTATAAATATTTAACTCTATGCACTCAGAGACATCTTGCAGATCATCTACCAGCAACTCAACTGCATTTTTTTTACAAAATAGTGAAAAATGAATTATTTCATATTAAACAATATAATGTTGGAACCAATTACTTTATTGTAATGATATTCAGCTTATAATGGAATTTTGAACATTGAGGAGTTTTTTATTACAAAATCAAAAATTTATATCTTATATTTTTCTAACGTGTGGTAACGTGATATAGTCACCAACATGCAATGAACATGGGTCCATTGATTCATGTTGGGCAATAGTAATTTGTTTGATGTATTTCACCTGGTGTTTTTCTATGCAAGCAGACAACGCAGTCTCATTTTTTTCCTGCTACATTAATAATATGTAATTTATTGCCATCAAAGATGATGTAGGAGGTGGCACTCATGATTCCTGAAAACCATGAAAATGAGTCTAAATCAACTCATCTTCGATACTGCTTATATTATAGCTCTCACTTTTGTCTTTTTTGTTTTGCCGTTGCTCTGCAAACTCAGTAAATGGATCCAAAATTTCTAGGTGTAAATTGCAAAATCACGAAATGAAATTTATCAAAAGGATATTACTTTTCCAATTTTACTTTTCTGACTTAGTACAGATAATGTATTCAACCTGTGCTGCCTGATACTTAAATGTGATCTGCCTTCAACTTCGAAAGTCTCTTTCTTTTAAGGCTACAGTAGCTTGCTTATCTGTCCTTTCAAGTTATGCCATATGATACAAAGGGTATACCCGCAGCTGCCTTTCTTGTACAAATGCTCTTTATTGCTACCTTCTGTTACAAAGAAGTGTTCGCACCACTGTGAAGCACTTCACACATTGTCTTTCCATATGATGCTAACTGATTTTTTTAGGTATATTTCAGTATATATTTTGTCTTTTTATTTGCTTTTTGTGCAATTTGAATGGAAAACTTCAAGGAAACATACAGTTTTTGAAAGATTTGCATTTGCATAAGTTTGTCCTGTATAATCACCAGCAATCTCTTTATGTCCTCTCACATCCAAGTGGCTTGCGATATTCGATTGTGAAGGGTTAGTTCCTTTGAAACTTTTATAGGAATAAGTTAATCTCTCAGTCTTCTGAGTCTTCACTTTGACAGCAAATCTGACTTCTCCTGATTTTAGGAACATTTTTTAAATTTCAGATTCTCTAAGTTTGTAAAGAAGGGTTTGGTATACACAAACAAGAGTTTTTCAATGCAGACGATGCTTTGTAAGCTGTACATATATTAGCCTTTGTTAGTGAAGGTAAAAGGAAGAGCAGCTCCAACTTGTGCAGATAATACATGCTCCCTTTATTCTTGTATTCTTTGCTTCTTCCCTTTCCACAGATATTTATTAATCTTCTACCAAAGGCCAGATATTGTGCTCAATTTTGGGGTAGAACTGAAACCAGACTTCACCCGTCAGGAGTTAATTGTCTGGTAGAGGAAGTAAATTGAGTCCATTATTAATTATAATGGGGCTAGACGGCGACTGGTACTGTAGAGTGTCAAGAGAAAAGACTCCTACCCAGGAAGACTGGGGAGGAGGTGTGGCGGCACCTTGAAGGAGGTGGTGACACTTGTCATTGAGCTTGGAGGGTAGCTAGGATTTGGCCATTGGAATCTGGTAGAAGAGTCTCCCCTCTGGAAGGGAGAGATCATCAGAAGGAAACCCTACATGGCAAAAGACTTCTTGTGTAGAGATGTTTTCTAAGACATCATGTAGTAGAACTGGGTTATAATGGGATTCAACTATACTTTGCCCTGTGGTTAAACCCCAAGAATGCTGTCCCAGCAAGAAGCCAGGGTGGTTTTCTCTAAAGGACTATTTTTATTTTTTCCTACTCCAGTCAATTCCTCAAAACTCTTAACAAGTCCATACACTTAACAAGTGTGGACTTGTTAAGCATTTTCTACTTAGCTTTTTTTCCCTTAAGATTTCTTCTGAGTGCTTGTTTCACTTCTTAAAATGATTTTCAGTACAGAGTCAGCTGGTGCTCAACAGTGAATTTGCTCTTGTAGAGTCATAGCACTTCTGTGTGGAGGAAGCTACTACAATGAAAAGATAAAGGGCGCAAAAGAAAGGCTTGTAACTTTTTCTAACCTATTGCAGTTCACCCACTCTAATTGCTCCTCACTTTCAAACATGAACATTGTCAGTAACATGCTGCTTTCAAAACAAACATGTTATCCTCCTGCTCACCTGCTCCTTTCACCACCTCCCAAGTATCATTAGGATATGCCGAATGAAGAGCATCTACAGACATGACTTTATTATCCTTTGTCTTTCAGATAATAATAATAAGAGCTAACATTTACCGAGAGCTTATTTTATAGCTCATATAATATAGGTGCTGCCCAAGTTTTTGATGTTTTCTCATTTAATATTTGCAACAATCAAGAAAGTGCGGCTTAGAAAGGATCAGTAACTTGCCTTGAATCACATTTCATTCACTTAATAAATGTTCAATAAATGTGTGTCAAAGCAGGCGCAAAGTAGACACAGGAAACCATAGCAAATAAATAAATTGGAGTTCAAAATTTAAAACTTTGGTTCATGAAAGGCTAATATCAAGAAAGTAAAAAGATAACCCACATAATGAGAGAAAACACAAATCAATTTAGGTGATGAAGGTATAGTGTCTGGAATATAAAAGAAATGAACAACAAAAGGATAAACTACCCACTTTTTTAAATGGCAAAAGAATTTGAATAGCCGTTTTTCAAAAAAGATACACCGACTGTTAGAAAAACACATGAAAAGATGTTCAACATCGTTAGTCATTAGGGAAACCAAAATCACAATTAGATACCACTTCATACACAGTAGGATAGCTGTACTTTAAAAAACAAACAAAAAGAAAAAGTAAGTCTTGGTGAGAATGTGAAGAAATTGGAACCCGTGCATTGCTGATACATATGTAAAATGGTACTACTACTTTGAAAAACAGTTTGGCAGCTTCTCAAAAAGTTAAACATAGAATTATCATATGACCTAGCAATTCCACTCCTAAGTATATACCCAAAAGAATTTTTAAAAGGTAGTTAGAATATTATGTGAATATTTATAGCAGCATTATTCACAATAAGCAAAACATGGAAACACCCTAATGTCAATACACTGGTAAAACAATAGACAAAATATAGTATATTAGAATGGTGTATTGTTTAGCCACAAAAAGGAATGAAG